ATTATTATTGCACTACTAAATATATGTTTTATGTTGTGCTTTTAAGACGTACTTGAACGATCCATATGCAAGCGACTGAGAGCAAAAGGGATGTGCAAGAGTCGTTTTAACTGCATCAAAGACGATCTGTGTAATGTCACATGTGGTGAGAATGTCGTCATTACTGATTGTTGCCTTCTGAATATGATATCTAAAAATAACTCAGTTCTATAGTGATCAGGGRGCAGAACAGATTTATGCACTTAATTTGTTTGTTTTTGTTTACCAGACCTATATTGATAATATTTCAATCTCTAAAATTGCCTAGGAGAGCCAACCTCCTCTCCCCTCTCCCCTCAAAGAACCGAAAGATCTTTCATTGACTGCTTCATTTTGAATATTTATAGGGTGTAAAGACATTCTCTCTGTGGAATCGTGTAAGTTACTGAAAGAAATAAAAGCATGCTACAAAAACTTGGCAGTGGGGTTCGATTATTGCAGGTGGACCTGTGGGTTTTGTTGTGAGTAAAACGTTCTATCTCTTAACGTTACTTTTTACGGTTCATCCTTATCTTGATTGATAGTCAGTCATATTCGTATATGATCCTTACAAAAAAAGGCTTCTAAACAATGTTAAAAATGAACGATTTCTCGATCACTCAATATATTGATTATCACCTCGACCATTGCGATTGGCTATTAAAGTACTTATTAATTTCTACAAATCGTCAGGGAGAACTGCATGTAAGTCGCCAGGTGCACTTGGGATGCAAAACAGAGCCATTCCTGACTCCAGTATCACCGCGTCATCGTCCTTTAGCTCGAATAATGCCCCACAACAAGGAAGACTTTACTACAAGCAACTTAGTGTTAAATATGGAGCATGGAGTGCGAAAACAAAACGAGCCGGAGACTGGCTCCAGGTTGACTTRGGCAATGTTACCAAAGTTCAAGGTGTCGCAACCCAAGGTCGATACGATTCTGACCAATGGGTTGCAAGCTACAMCCTTSAATACAGTGACAATGGAAAAACCTTCAAGAAATACCAGGGAGGCAAAGTGTTCAAAGGAAATAATGACAGGAACACCGTTGTAAAKAATGATATAAGTCCCCCGATCTATGGCAGGTACATCAGRGTAGTAGTCAAGACATATTATGGTTGGCCCTCAATGAGAATGGAGCTGTATGGGTGCAAATACTATTAAAGGTACACACAACAACTGATGAAATATAAGGGAACTTTCCAGTTATCAGAATTGGTTAGTCGTCAGACCMAAAGAGAAAATCATTGTTAATCATGTTCAATAGAAAAATCAATTTCTACATTTAATCCATAATATTTTTTAAAAAATATGATAGAACATAGAATTTCACCAGAATAAGCTCGAAAAATACACATAAATACACAAAAATACTACTTCTAAATAGAACGGCCTTGTCGGCCGGTTCTGTCGAAATGGAAACAACAGGAATAAAAAGTGATTTTAAGACTCWTTTATTGTTTTGTATTTCAGCTCACCATTTTTGCAGTCCGAGTCCTGATGGAGACCATCGGAGTAAATAAGTGGATAACGATTWACCAGATAACAACCGACTAACGGAATGGTGGAAACTAGCGGYAAACTRGTGTGATCTGCGTCGGTATTTCTAAAGAAATAGTCGTTTAATAAGAAAATTTAATTCCGTAAAAACATTGAACAACTATATAGTATAGATATACACTACTGATTTTATATATGTGATTTATAAGAAGAGGGGTAATGAAGTTGAATTATATGATTTATGGCCAGGGCACACATATAACGGGATGTCCTAGACAGTCAACAAGGAGACTTTGCAGGGATGGGAGAAACACTTATAGTGTCCCCAGGGGACAGGGGACACTTAGGGGATGTCCAAGACGGTTCCCAAGGRTACTTCTAGCGGTATGAACGAAAGAGGAAGTGAGACCCCAGTGACCTGTGGATCAAATTCGCTCTGAACAGTCACAGTGAAACATGTCTGGTCCTATCATAAGTAAGTTTATATTCTTCATGTTYGTCGTTGTGCCAGCTGTTTCATGAGCTAGTGCAAAGGACCGAATCACCAAAATGTCTTCTTCTAAAGTTCCTGACAAACCGTATTCTTGTAGCCACACAAAGTTCTTCATTGTCACATTCCTTTCGCATACATTGCTACTTTGTGCAGGCTTCGTTCCTATGTATATCACAACAAATCATCGTCTAGCGACTGTCGAAGATCGCTTAAGGGTACATGACATGGAACTCAATTCTTGCTGCCTTAAGAAAGGAGGGGATGATAATTTTCAAGGTAGGGCCGACGTCCATCCTGATAGAAATGACGCGAATGCAGTCTTGGTATACTTATCAAGCCTTTATTCAAGTTTAAAAGAATATCAGAGAAGATATCGACTTCCGCCTTACTTATAATACAATAGAAGAAGTCTYCTATGCACACTTTCTTTGYGCTTTCAAGCTGGAATTTCACTAAGGTCGAAATCAKMSGTTTAAAACGGTCTTTTMTGTCCTCTAATTTATRATCGAAATACGACTCTATTAATTTCACCTGAGACCAGGTTAAATATTTTGATTCGACGCCAGCTTTTACAATATTTCTTTTTTTTACAAACAGATCACGAGGAAACAAAGATCACACTGAATAAAGAAAAAGATGRTCAGACGCAWTTCATCGAYCGCGTAAAACGCAACACTCCTTACATGTCTCCTGATGTTTTGAGTTCTATTCGCAGGGAAGTACGTAATAACATTTTCAACCTTACGGCCTCGACGTTTTGTCAAAAGCCTAATAAAATTTGCATTCGTGGAGCTCCGGGTAAAAGAGGACGAATGGGGAGAAGAGGAGCTCGTGGAAGAAGAGGTCGACCAGGTCCTAAGGGAATAAAAGGCCTTCCTGGGAAATATGGTAARCAAGGAWTMCGAGGRCCTCCTRGAMTAAAAGGACRAAARGGCGATACCGGAAATCCAGGACCGCCAGGGCTGCCGGGACCGAAAGGGGAACGAGGGGAAGCTGTTTCTGAGCCTTCAGTACTTCTGTCGCCATCGAMATTGACAGTTACACAAAACCAGACKGCTACCTTTCATTGCAATGCTCGCGGTAATCCCAAACCAAAGATAACATGGATAAAAGAATCTGGAAATATTGATTTTGGTAAGACCAGAATCGATCAATCAGGATTGCTTGAAATATCGGATGTTGGCGAAAACGATACTGGAAACTACACGTGCTCTGTAAAGAGTGTTCTCGGAGAGGATGCAAAAACAGTATCACTTCTTGTCAGATGTGAGTAAAACAAACCCTTCTTCAGCATTCCATTCAMGATTTTTGTATTTGGTTGATTATTTGATTCGACGTGTTTTTTACTTGGATATTATAACGGGATTTTTAGGTCGCAATTATTGTTGTTTAGGGTTGTTGAATGAATTCAATGTAGAAACGGTCTAAATATTTCAGCAGGAAGTCTGATTGACATGGGTTCCGACTTACAATTTTCTTGTTTTGATAGTTCCACCTAGGTTCATAAAGATACCAGAGCCATTTCAAACAGTTCTTCAAGGAAATACTGTGAATTTGTTATGCAATGCATTGGGTTATCCAYCRCCCATAATCACGTGGTCAAAAATTCAAGGTCWCCTMCCTTCTGAACGAAGTCAACAAAATGGTGGAAAGCTGACAGTAAGAAGATTCCAGTTAAGTGATGGWGGATCTTATCAATGCCAAGCTGTGAATTCATTGRGCAAAAAGACAGTTTACACGTCATTGAATTTTCGTAAGTAATTACTGTGTTGATTGTAATCAGGCATTAACAGGATTCATTTACATATAAAGGGATCATAAATCACTGTCAGAATATCTAATGACCAAGTAGTCTACTTGCTACCAAAAGGAAAATATATTTATTATGCCGATTTGGTGGTGGGGGAGAGGGGGATAAAGATGTTGAGGAGAAATAATGAAATAAATACTGACAATTGGGGTCTATAATATTCTCTCAGGTGTATTATTCCACAATTCTACTTCCCTCCATTCCTTCCATTAGGCAGATTACAAGTCTATTGGCAATCTAACACACATTGGCTTCATTGCGTTACAAGCTGTTATCCGACTGTATTTATCATTGTAATAAGCTATTGAAATTGAAATATAATATGCTATCGATGTCCCTGAAAACGCTGGAAATCGCATTTCCAAGAGTTATWATTTCAAAATTTCCCCTTTCGAGTCCCCGTTAAGCGTGACCCCACTAAAAGGAATAAATGACTGCTCCTATACCTTTGCAGTGGGGTCCAACATTGCAAATGGACATGTGGATTTTGTTGTACTGAGTAAAACTTTCTTTGTCATCCGCTGAATAAGGTTAATCACTTGTATAGTTTATTGGTACGTCAATTATTAGTTGCTGTTAATACCCCAAAACGAGATTTTTAACCAATATTAACAGTGAAAGATTTCTCACTCACTAATTTGATTATCACCTCGGCCATTGCGATCGGCCATTAGAGTACTTATAATTAATTTCTACAAATCGTTAGGGAGAACTGCATGTAAGTCGACAGGTGCACTTGGGATGCAGAACAGAGCCATTCCTGACTCCAGTATTACCGCGTCATCGTCTTGGGACTCAAATCATGCCCCACAACAAGGAAGACTTCACTACAAGCCGCCTCGTGGTAAGTATGGATCATGGGCTGCAAAAAGAAACCAAGTCGGAGAATGGCTCCAAGTTGACTTGGGCGAGATAACCAAAGTTCAAGGTATCGCAACCCAAGGTCGACAAGACAACTATGACCAATGGGTGAAAACCTACACCCTGCAATACAGCAACAACGGCAAAACCTTCAAGAAATACCAGGCAGGCAAAGTATTCACGGGGAATAAAGACAGACAGAAAGTTGTCAAGAATGATATCAATCCCCCGATTTATGCCAGGTACATCAGGGTAGTAGCCAAGACTTGGACTTCTCACATTTCAATCAGAATGGAGCTGTATGGGTGCAAATACTATTAAAGGTACACACAGCACAATTGATGAAATATAAGGTACTCTTAAATTTGCACCAATCAGAACTGGATGCCAGACCCAAAGAGAATTCCATTTTTAATCATCCCTGTTCAATAGGAAAATAAATTTTATTCATTAGTACGATCGAAAATAAATAATTTCAAAACAGGCATAACTTCTAGATGGAACGGTCTGTGCAGCCGGTTCTGTCGAAGTGGAAACGCCCTAAGACTCATGACCAGGCCATCATCTTT